AAAAAATTCTCACTTTTAACTCAAAAATGGAAAATGAGAACCACATAACGTTTCTGGAACGTACAAAACAGTAACAAAATAATTAGTGAATGTACTAACAAGAATGCCCAGAATCTAGTGTCCGCCACTTGCAAATATGCTAATAACTTCAGAAAATTCAGTTCTTCGTACGGTGCCGACAAAACCCCCTCATACAATGCCAGCCACTAGACAGTCAATTAGCGGAGATTCTCATTTTTAGAAACTGATTGTTCCCAAACCAGCGGCAACTCACAATTGACTTACGGGTATAACTGCATTGAAATCCTACTTACAATCGGCAGTAACTGAACAAAACCAAAGCCCATTTTCAAGTCAGGACAAACAGATTGCCGTATCTAAATTAAAAGAAAAATTCCTACTAAGTACCGAAAGCAGACAACCGTCTAAATGAATCTCAAACGTAAGACAGAAAATCGTACTCAAAATTCACCAAGGAAGCAAAGCAATGTCAAGAGACATTATGCATGCAGATAAAATTTACGAAAAAGAAATAAAAAAAACTGTAGTGTTCAAACTTAAAAATCTACATCAAAAACAACTTTATTCTCACTCACCTCGTAAAACTGCATTTTCTCCAACACTTGAAATAAACGTCTCTTAAAAATTTCCAATGCTCCATCCACACCCAGCTCATGTTGTTCATCGGCTAATGTAAGGTCCACCAGTGGTCTTGCACCTAACTGGCACAGACTGAAATGCACAAAATAAATCGATCTACAGAGGTTTAAACTTCAAACTCGTTGTCATAACTATAATCATTCGAAAACGCACCGGCGAAATAATTTTTTGCTAGCGAAATTGTATTGCTGGTAACTCGAATCACCTAATCCGAGAACGCCAATAGAGAGCTAAAAAAAATATGTCTCACTGTTTCCAGAAGGCTGCCTAGAAGTACTTATTACTGGTGCCACAAAACATCGAAAAAAATATTTAAAATAAAACGCGACCCCAAACAGCAATGTATCTGACAAAGCTTTATGACACAAAGTCCGCCAGGCGACTCTACAGCTTTCAGGAAACTCACCTCGTCCTGTCGTCGATATAACGAACACAGCGCAACTTTCGTCACTCAGGTTCTAAATAGTTCAAAACCGTAACAATGAACAAAATGAGCATTATAAAGTTCAGTGTTCTCCAAATAAGATTTCCTTCCACAAAACTTATATCACTAAGAACCTATCCACTTTTCAGGGGAAAACGTGCTTAATTCCATGGCTGTATTAAAATGAAAAACAAAATTAAATGCGCCATTAGGATAAGTGATTCAAGGATGTTGCGATTCAAGTCAGAATCAGCTTGTTTCTATCAAAATAAAAAACCGATAGCACCTATAAAATGTCACCATAATTACAATAAGAACTCAAAAACGAAATTTCAGGACGGCAAATACGCAAAAAGGTTTTCGATAGTCCCGACCCAGTGCTGCTTTTTGTATGAATTTCTAACATACATAAAATTCAAAAATTGAAAAATTATACCTCCAAAGAAGAAGGTGAATATGACAGTACTTTAACGTCAAGATGCTCCCCTATTTTATCTTCTTCCAAGCCTTCAGATGATGAAATTTTATTTGCGCTACAGCTTAAGCATATAAAACCAATTTCCGCTACATCTTTAACGTAGCACTTCGTTTCCTCCGAATATTAAAAGGTTTACACTATAATTTTCTTCTAAAGCTTTTTTATGTGCCTCCAGCTGTATTCTAATAGTAAGCTTCAAAACAATAGCGTCGTCATCGTTAAATTTGCTGTCTTAAACGAGAATTTCCTATCCGTTC